TGCGGAGAGATCCGGGGGCTGAGGACGCCCATTGGGTCCTCACAAGGGCTGGGATAGGCGGTCCCGCGCGACTCCCTTTCCCACGAGGACCCAAGGCAGGGTGGAAGCGGCTGCGTGCACGTGGCAGGAGGGAAGCACCCCTTCCGAAATGTGGGGCCGGGGACCGCGTCCACGGATCCGGACAGTGTGAAGGGAGGCGAGATCAGGCCAGGAGCCACACCTCACGTCCCAACTGACCCCTAGTGGGACCCTCCAGCCTAGAAGGGGGACGCTCGAGAACAGGTCCCCCGTGCCCCTCTCAAACGCCCCTACCACTGCAGCTGCCTTCCTGAAGGGCTGTGGCCGGAGCTGCCTTTATCTGAGGTCCCCCGACAGAACAAGAAGCCCCTGCGTGTCGTGGGAGAACATACACCAGTCTAAAAGCATGCTGCGGGCAAAGCGCTCCTTCCACAGCGAAATCCGCCAAATAGCAGCTACTTGAATCCCTGCCCCTCCTTTCCCAGCCTGGTTCCCGTCCCGCTCTGCTCCGGGCCACCTGGCACGGTCGCGCACCTTGCACGGTCACGGCCACCTTGGCGGAGAACATGGGCGCGCTCTCCACCGGGATGCGCATGGTGCCCGAGCACTGGTAGCGCCCGCTATCGCTGGCGCGCGCCTGCAGCACCGTGTAGTTGGTGCTCGAGTGGAAATAGCGCACCGCCTGGCCGTCGCGGTAGTAGTGCAGTTTGTAGACCACCTTGTCGTACCAGCCGCGGCAGCGCATGATCAGCGGCTCGCCCTCGAACACCGCCGTGTAGGGCACCTGCAGGATCAGCCAGTCTGCAACCGACAGGCGGGAAGACTCACCGCGCGGAACTTTCAGCCACAGCTCTCGCATTCTGACGCCTTGCTTCCCCCATAGCCGCTAGCCCTCCCTGCTGTCCTCAGGGCTCCCTCCCTCTCTCCAGAGCCCGTCAGATAAGTCTCATACTGCAGAAAGCTCTGAGTGGCAGGAAAGAGAAAGGCGTCCTAGGGAGGTAGAGATGCCCCAGACTCGATTCCTGTCTCAGAGCACTGCCCACCAGAATCCAGTTTAAACTCCTCTGAGTGGCTTCAGGACCTTCCTGAGCTTGTCCTCACCTCCCCGGTACTCTCTCCGTATTTTCCCCTAACTTATTTCATCTCTATCCTCCCACCTTTCATTTAACACGGGTTAGATTCCAGCTATAGGAACTGCTGGGAGAATTGGGTCTTCTCTGATCCCAGGGCCTTTGTACCTGCTGTTTCCTCAGCGGAAAAGACCCTCCTTCATTTTAAATTGAAGCCTACTTAGCCCGAATGTCTAGGTAGATATTTCATCTACTTAATAAAACTTCCTAAACGCTTCCCAGGGTAGCCTTAGATGTCCCCAGCAGCACCATGTATTTACCCAGTCATCATCGTGATCATGGCATGATCATAGCCCCCAACACATACAAATACCATTTTGGATGCTATACATTGAGAGGGAATTCCGCAAAGAAATGCCACAAGACATGCATTATACTCAGACCCTAAGCAGTAACCATAATCTGTTATAGTCAGTGTCACTGTTGCTCTCACTAACAATTCCCCAACAGGAAACCCCAGAGTATTCACATGAAGTCTAAGTGCTAATACGAACACTGAGCGACGTCTCTTATATTCTAAATGCAAATCGTGGCCTATGAAGCTAGAATTAATGCATTCCCTGTGAAAGTGTCTTAATTAACAAGTGATTATTTTTCTTATCCTGTTTTGAAACCCTTCAGGTATCTTTAGTCAGTTTCAGTTGATCCCTCTGTGTGTATATATGTCTGTAATAAATTCTTAATCAAATGCTCTCTTTTTGAGATAAGGTCTTGCTGTGTAGTACAGGCTAGCCTTCAACTTGCTATGTAGCCCAGGCTGGACTTGAACTCGCAATCCTCCTCCATGGCTTTCCAAGTGCAGGGACAACAGGTATGTGCCACATTGTCCCGACATTACTGTTATGGATACACAGAAAAGCATAGCATTACGCTCATGCCCCCTTCCCCTTGCTCAGACCACTCACCATTAGACACGGAGAGGTGGATGGGGTCGCTGACAGGTGCCCCCCGTGTCTGGCATCGGTACACCCCTGGTGTCTGCACCTCGATGCTCTTCTTGTGGGAGGGCAGGAGTAGGTGGCCCAGATACCAGAGAGTGTTAATGGGCCGCAGCTCCAGGAGCAGAGGGTAATGTCCATCACACCGTAAGGTTACCCGCTCGCCCTTGAAGATCGTGGTCCAAGGTGGGTGTAGAGACAAGACAGGCTTCTCCAGTGTAGCTGAGGTGTGTGAGAGGAGATTTGGGAAGGAGAACCAAGGCGAGGTGCCCAAGCACACGGCCTGAGGTCCTGAAGTTTAAGAAAGCCCCATTTTCCAGGCCACAGCCCATGTACTGACCCATCCCTGTGGGAGAGGAGACCATATTCATGGAGCTACAAGCTATCAGTCCACTGGTCAGCACCCATTTCTGAGTGCCAACAAACTTAGTCTCAGGGATTGAGGAAGATGTACTATCCCAGAACAGCCAAAGTAGTGGGGAATCTACCTAAGCGGTTCACTTAGAGTGGGGTGGAGTAAAAATTGTGGAAAAAAATTGGGATGACCGAGATATGCAAAACTCACCAGCTTGACCAGTGCTTGGAACTGTAAAACAAGAAAGAAGGAAGGATGGGAATGTTGGAGATAAGTCTCTGATGACCCTGGGAAAGACTGAATGGTCTTAAAGTCTGTTTTCCTTCTTTTGCCCCTGGTTACCCCAGCTCTGATAAAGCTGCCTCCTCTTCACCCTCCAAAAACAGATATGGCGTCACTTGGAAACTGAGGATGGCATAGACACTCACCTACTCTAAACCCTGCCCTGACCAACCTGTCCTCCTGCACCCAAAGTCCTGCTGCTGTTGCTACCTCATAGAGGACTCACCCAGGAGCAGGAGGGCCGTCAGCACCCACATGACCGACCTGGCTGTAGCAGCTGTGGAAGATGGAGATGTGCTGGTAGGGGATGGGGGCAGAGGGAAAGAAGGTGGCCAGTGGGTGAGTACTAGGAGACGCATCTCCCACCCATTCCTAGCTCCTGAAGGTGGTGGACTGCAGAGAGCAGGAGACAGGTGGAATGTGTGTCAACCTCACGGAATCCCAGGGCAGCTCGAGGCAGCCCTGGCTCCTGTAGGGCCTGCTGGGCTTGTGCCTCCTGCAGCACAAGAGAGCCAGGTGGATCTCCAGGCTCCCACAGGTGACCCTGCCATCTTCAGCCTCTCATTGACAGCCACTTCCATTCTGTCCCCACAAAGCCAGCCCTGGAAGCCTCAGTTGGGGGGGACATATCCTCACTAGGCGAGGCAGACAGGGGGGTTTCTTTTGCTCATTTCCTAACCAGCCCGCTTATGAGGCCTAGAAGAGGTCTGTGTTGAGTCCCCTGCACCAGAGCTGACATCCTCCCACTAAAGAGTAGACAGAACGGCATGACTCACCAACAGCTCTTCTGTGTCCCCACCCTCCTGGGCCCCAGAGATAAGGGTAATGTGTTTCCCCTTCTTCCTCCCTTCCTGAAATCTCAAACCCTCAGAAGTTGGAAAATGTCTTTCCCACTTACCCCAGCGATCTCACTTGGTGGCACTTCCTCTCCCTTGTTCTTTTCTTCTTTCCCTCCGCAAAGCCCTACAACCCCTCCCAAGCATGCCCTGCTCCTGGGACTCCTGACCTGTGGCAGAGAAGTCACTGAATCAGCCCTGCAGAAGCTCCTCAGATCTGACTCTTGGCCCTACTTCTTGTGCTCTCTGGGTCATGTGACCAGGCCTGAGCAATGAGGAGCCCAAATTTTTACATAAATACTTAATGAAGTTTCCAACCTGATAGTATGTCTCCTTGGACTCTCTCCTGTCCTCTCCTGTGGCTGGTTGAGAACCAGGGCGTCTCCTTCAGTTGGAACTCTGGCAGGAGGTCAATTATCAGATATTGTCAAGTCTCCAGACTGCATCCTCCTCTTTTGCTGGTGGCCAGGGTTCCACTCTGAATTCCCTCCTAGTTTAGCTTAACATGCTAGTCTCTGTTAAAAATGCAGATGACTCTGCGGGAAAGGTCACTGGTTGTTTAAATTACGCTGGCCACTTCTGAAGCTGCTTTGGGAGGAGGTTAAGATGAGAGAGATGGCCGTGTAAATCTGGAAAGTAGGGAAGCATTGAATAAAGTGCCCAGGAGTGGGGGAGGCAAAGAACTGGACACTGGGAGCGGAGACGATCAGCTTTCTGCTTGAGGAATGGCCAGCCTGGACAACGCCTCTGTGTTTCTCCACACTCTCCTGATTATTCATGCCAGGCCAATGGGGGGCTCCCCACATCATCCACAGCCTGTCCCAGGCATGACTTCCGCACAAGGATGCTCTAACAATGCCCCATGGCTGGCGGCTGGCCTCTTGGTCTATACAGGTGAATTCTAGTTTGGCTTCTCATCACCCAGGGCAGAGATTTCAGCCCCTTTACTGGGTTCCAGAAGAAATGCAAAAAATTCATGTGCAATATAGTCTTCCCTGAAAAATCTCAGGAATCCACTGTAGAATTCATTTTCTTACAGAGCTCAGAATTTCACTTGAGAAATATCTTGCCCAACATTTCTTTATTCTAGGCTCTCCTCAGGATTTTCCCCAAACTGCATCTTTCCCCACCCAGGACTTTCCTCTAACAGAATGCTTGAAAGGGTTTTTTTTTTTGAGGGGGTGGGTATTGAACAAACTCTTGCTGTGTTTTTGAATTCACTATGTAGCCTAGGCTGGCCTCGAATTCACCCCAGTCTTCCTGCCTGAGCCTCCCAAATGCTGGGACTACAGGTGTGGGCCACCATGCCCAACACTCCTATCAGAATGTTAGTTCTTTGCTGCTTTACTACATTGAGAAAGTCAGCAATTACTGGTACTTGAGCAATTCTTGGAAGCCGGTCACAGCGTAACTTCCAGAAAAGATATGCCATCATTTATTTGATAAGAATTCTGGTAAATAAAAGACATCCCGTGATGACAGTGATAATGGAATAATGATGCTCTTGCTGCTAATGATACCAGCTCACTTTTATTGTCATGCATTTCATGCCCTGGTGTGTGGCAGGCACCATACTGAATGCTTCACAGGTATAACTTCATTTACTCCTCACACAGGCCCTTTGAGGATGGATTATTATCATCTCTGCTTTACATCTGAAGAAACCGAGGTACCAGAATTTAGGGATGACTGAATCTCTAAAATCTGTTTTCTTGTCTCTCTTGTCAGTGATGCAAGGTGATGCTCAGGGGATGCTGTCTCCCCTGGTCTTTTCAAGGCCTTTCTCTTGTTTTCTTCTACCACATTTCCATTCTTTCCCCCTCCCCATAAGCATCCACTGTACATTGTTTATTGTATGTTCTGTATATATGCATTTGTTCCTCCTGGAGAAAATCGTAGTATTATTAATTTACATAAATGATAGAGTGATGTAGATGCTATTTTCTCTTCTACTTTTTTATTGGTAGTGATATTGCGTATTGAACTGAGCTACATCCGCAGCCTTTTTAACTTTAAAAAAATTTTTTTTAGTACCAGAGATCAAACTCAGACCTTGCACTTGCTAGGCAGGTGACAGCACCACTGAACTAAATCCCCAGCAGCTTTTTTAAAATTTTGAGGCAGATTCTTTCCAAGTCACTCTGGCAGGGTGGGCTTAAACTTGCCATCTTCCAGTCTCACCCTACCAGAGTTCTGGGATTACAGACCTGCAACACCACACTTGGCTTCTTTGTCCTTTTTAAAATTAATCCCTTGTGTGGAATATTCATTCACATTGCTATACATGCATCTTGTGGATTGCCTCTGTATTACTCAGTGTGCTTCCTCTATACTTCTGTTTGATCATTCCCCTAACTCGATAGTTGCTGCCTTACCCTCTGCTACCACAGACAGTGCCATCGTGAACTAACTCCTTGGTGTGTATGGTAAAGGCTGCATGAGCTACAGTACAGAATGCTAACAGTTTAGGAGAAGGCCGAACACAAAGGAGGCTAATGAGACTGTTCGCATGGTCCTTAATGCTCTTTCTGTCCTGAGCAAAGAATTGGTCAGGACAAGTGGGAACTGTAGCAAAGTTTTATTAAAACTAGGGAAAGAAACAGGCTTTGCAGAAAGAGTTTGGGCCCAACAAAAGTTGGAAAAGATGTATGCGCTACAGTGTGAGGATGGCCCATTGTGCAAGAGAGAGCAAGTAAAAACTCCATGTGGACTGTCCTTTTCATATCACCCACTCCTTGGGCTAACGTCAGGACTACGCCATCTTATCAAAAATCTGCCCGAGTTCTTGTGAGAAGTCCATGTGCAGGGCTTTGGAAAATGTTCTGTGCACAGGTCCTGGGGTTTTGTAATTAAAAGGTCATGCCTACTCCCTAGCCAGCTTTGCTATGCCCTAATCTCGTGTCTCAAGACTAGAGAGGTTAGAGAGTCCCTGCGGGGCTGCTGAAGGGCTTCCAGGAGTGAGACTGTAGGGCACAGTCATGAGCTTCATGCCTTTCCTCCTTCCAAAGTCTAGATATGATCCTCTCGCCAGTCCTGATGACTCTACCTTCTACGGACATCATTTCTCATCATTGTTTCTTCAGCAAGTGGCCAGATAAATGCTTTTAAAATGCAAATCGTATTGTTTTTCTCTCCTTCAAAATCCCCCTCGGAATAAAGTCCAAAGATGCACTCAGAATAAAGCCCAAACCCCTTCCCATGGACCTTGCCTCCAAATGGGGGCTTTTGCCTGACCTTTGACCTCACATCACACTCTGACCTTTGCCCTCCCTCCCCCTGGTCTGGCCAGGCTGTGATTACTGCAGTTCAGAGAAGAGTCAGTTTCCACGCTTCACTTGCCATTCTCTCTGCCTGAAAGATTCTTATTCTCCTCCCAGATCTTTGCAGGTTTCACTTCCTCGCATCTGTCTCCTCAGAGGGATGGTCACTCATCACGGTATATAAAGCAGTATCTGTTATGGTGTAGCTCTAAAATGTCCGCCCAGAGTCTCCTGTGGGTAGAAGGTGATTGGATCACGGTGGCGCTGTGGTCATCAGTGGATTCATCCTTTGCTGAGTTCATGGCTACATGTGCTGCTGGGAGGGGGGCCTGGCTGGAGCTGGGTCAGTGGGTGTGTGACCAGGAAGGGCATTTTCTTGTTCCCAGCACCTCCCTTCTCTCTCTGCTTCCTGGCTTCCGTGAACAGAACAGTTTTCCTCTACTGCTCCCTCTCACCATGCTGTTTCTGCCTTGGAAGCAACCAGCTTCAGGCTAATGGTGAGCCAGAATAAATCTCTCCTTTGAATGTGGCTGTTGGGATTTTGCCCCCGCGACAGGAAAGTGGCTAAGCCGGCATTACCTCACCATCATTGTCTGCTCAGTAGTTTGCTTCATTTTTCTTCGTAGCATTTTGTCATTCCCGGACATTGTGTTTATTTGCACTTCCTCCATTAGAATGCAAGCTTCATAAATGCAAGAATTTTTTTCTTGCTCAGTGCTATATCACCTAGGACAGTGACAGCGCAGAGCACGTGCTAAGTAAGTTAAGTAAGTGTTAGCAGGCTAGAAGAGGTCTAGCTGGGCCCTGTGGCTCCAAGCATCTCAGGCACTGAGGCAGGAAAATCACAAGTTTTAGGCTAGCCTGGGCAACTTCTGAGACCCTATCTGAAAATAAAAAAGAAAAAGTTCTGGGGATGTAGTTGAGTGGTAGAGGACTAAGTAGGCTATTAGGAGGTGGGACCTAGTTGCAGGAAGTGGTGGTGTGCCCTTGGGGACTGTGTCTGGTCCCTAGGCCCTCAGTCTGGCATTCTTCCGCTTCTTTCTGCTTTCCCACTGCCATAAGCGAAGCAGCATTCCCTTGTCACACCCTTTCACCGTCATATCTCTGCCTTGGAACCAGCCAACCAAAAATATACTTTTCTTCCCGTCTGTGTCTCTCTTTTTCTCTTTCTTTCTCTCTTTCCTTCCTTCCTTCCTTCCTTCCTTCCTCCCTCCCTCTCTCTCTCTCTCTCTCTCTCTCTCTCTCTCTCTCTCTCTCTCTCTCTCTCTTCTTTCCTAAGACTGAATCCAAGGCCTTTACAATGCGCTATGCCCCAGGCCCTTTTTGAGACACACTTGGAAGGTGCCACATTAACCAGGCTGGACTCAAACTAGTGATCCTCCTGCTTCAGCTTCCCCAAATGCTAGAATCACTGGTGTGTGCCGCCATGCCTGACTCTAATTCTCTTTTTAAGAGTGTTCAATATATAGTTTATATCGATTGCATTTTCATTCCAATATATTGTATTTTTAATTTTTTGAATTTGTTCTTTTTCATCTCTCTCCATACTCTTTTCCATTTTTTCCCTGGTTGTTTGTTTTATTGTTGCTGTTTATTTTTTTCTGCATCAGGTTTATTTGTACAAATAGCACAGAACCCCGGCCCCACTCAGATGGCAGCCCTGGGGTCATATCCGTCCTCATGTCTTCACATTGGCAGACAGAGGTTTTTACTAAGGAGCCTTCGTATGATGGGGGCCTGGACACCCTGGGGAGCTGAGCCTGAACTGGACCCAAAGTTAGGGCTGCAGTCGTGGCCTTGGCTGGCAGAGCCTGAGGACCCTTGGCAGTTGGATGTGGTGAGCACACTGGCTGCGCTTGGGCAAGGGAAGCAGGCAAGTCGGCGGAGCTTGTTGCTGACAGATAGCCTTTGGGCTCTAGGACTTAAAGTTCTCGGACTTTGCAACGGCCTTCATTCCTTGCATGTGCACTCGTGGCCTTACCTTGTTGGCCCGCTCTGCTTGTGCTTCTTGGCAGAGTGCACATTCCTTAGGAACCCAAGGTCGGCCTCCTCAAAAGACGCATGTCTTTGTGATCCAGGTTTCCTGATGCCATTTCTGTCGTATTTGAAACTGGTTCTATATGTATAGTTCTTGGATTCTCCATGTTCGCACCATAATCCATGGCTCCTGCTTGTTTTTGTTCTGGAAGTTTTTGTTGTTTTTTGGTACATACTATTTCTTCATTTCTGTAAGATCTTAAACTCTTTTTACAGGCTTTATGGGCTATCCTGTTATTTGCATTTAATTGAGATTGATTTGATCTCCTTAGAGTTGAGTTGGTGAATTGTCTTTTCAGATGTCTTTTGGGGGGCCCCTGAGTCTTCAGTCCAGCACCAGCAATTGGGCTAACTACTTTGTAGATATTTAAAGTACCACATCCTGGGCCAGGGATTTGGCTCAGTGGTGCTGCCATCTGCCTCACAAGCGCAACAACCTGAGTTCAATCCCCGGTACAAAAAAAAAGTAAAGTAGCACATCCTGTCACTCAGCCAGCTGGTGTTTGGTCTAGGTGTTTGTTTCTGGTTGCTTTGCTGTTTCTGTTCCCTCAATCTACCCCCAGGCCAAAATTTTCTTAAGTAAACGGTGAAAAATCTTTTTACAATTTATTTTCATGGGAGAAAGCACATCTCACACCCTTCTTCCACGACTTTTGGTCCCCTTAACCCACAGTAGCTGAATTTCTAGCTGTCTTTACAGGCTTCCAGATCTGAAGCCTAGCCTGCACCCTTTAGTATCTTCACTTCCTTTCAGGTCCGTGGAGATGCTAATGTTGTCTCTGAGCATAAATTAATTAATTAGTTAATTAGTTTATTTATTTATTGCAGTGTTGGAGATTGAACCCAGAGCTTTGCATTTACTGGTAAGTGCTCTACTACTGAGATATACTCCTACCCCTGAACAGGAATACTTTAAAATGTTTTTTATATTTCAATGATAAATATTTGGGGGAAAAAAGAAATGTAATGCAAATTCAGAAGTTTTTTAATTAAAAATTCTTATGTTACAGCAGTTTTTAGGAAAGAAAATCATTCTGTTGCTTCTCACAGAAGTATAAAATAATAAAGAAACATGTAGTTTACTTAGACTTTTCAAAAACATCTAATTAAAAACATTAAAATGAATGGCCTGGAGTTGAGGGATTATTTTGTTATATACACAGACTTAATTTAGGAACAGAAAGATAAACGAGTTTTTCTCTTTGGAAATGGATAAATGATAATCTAGTCCGGCAATAATTCACGTGTGTGTATCTGTGTATTTGTGTATGGTTCTGGGAATTGAACCGAGGGCCTGTGCACTAAGTGCAAACATTGATTGGCTGAGGCCTTTATACCACTGTATGCTGACTCACTGACCGAGATTACTATAGGGCTTGCCAGGCCTCATAGTTCTGGAGAGGGCAAGGCCAAGATTAAGAGGATCCAGCAGACTTGGTGTCTGGTGAGGGCGCCATTTCGAACTCATAGGCAGTATCTTCTTGCTGTGTCTTCACATGGCAGAAGGGCAGGCCAGCTCTGGGGGGTCTCTTATAAGGGCACCAATCACAATCACAGGGGCTCTGCCCCGTGGCATAATCACTTCCCAGAGACCCCATTTCCTAATATCATCTCCTTAGGGCTTAGGATTTCAACATACAAATTTTGAAGGAAAAGCAACACTCAGACCACAGCGCCACCTAAATACTGGCCCGTGATTAACACTCGCTGAAGGAGGCTGGGAAGGAAGAGGAATGATTGGGAGGGCTAAAGGCTGTTCCCAAAGCTTAAATCAGCTTTGTTAGCCTGGGGTTCCCCATCTGTGGCCACCCTAGAAGCACTTGATCTTGTCTATTAGGCTGGGGTTTCTCAACTTGAGCACCACTGACATTTTGAGATAGACAACCTTCTGTTGGGGGGAGGGACTGTTCTGTACTTTTATAGGAGGGTGAGCAGTATCCTTGGCTTCTTACAAGATGCCAGTAGCACACAAGTGAGGACTAAAATGTCAGGAGACATTGCTAAATTGCCCCAGTTGATACAACTGTGTTAAATCCACCTGCACGCCTTCTCTTCCAATCAATGGATCATGGTGGGGGCAATGAAAGGCAATTTTTGGTCTAGACAGAGAAGAATTATTTTGTCACGTTAAGAGAACACACAATTAGAGCTAAACTCCAACTCTCACTTTGTACAAATTTATCTGTACTCACCTACCTTCGTTATTCTAACAAGATGCTGGGACAGCTTGTAAAACTATTTATGCCTAAGTGCAGGACAGAAAGAGGGCAATAGAGCTGGATTTACAAGGAGTGGCTGAGCCCCGTCAGGAGAGAGTCATGCGCTTTCATTTGGCAGGAGGCTCTGTGGTCTTGGGCTTCAGGCGGCCAGACAAGTCCCTCAGCTCTACGAGCAGGTAACCAAGGAGATCCCTTATGTCCTGTGTGTGCTTGAGAAGAATGCCCATCCGATGATGAAGATGCGGGTCTGGAGAGGAGAAGACTGGAGGCTCAGAAGTAGGGGTGGCTAGCGGAGGTACAGGCTCGGGGGGATCTGCTCTTGTTTCTGGAGCAACTGATCTCTGAGACACTGGATTGAAGGTGGGAGAAGCAGCAGAGGTGGAGGGACCTGGATTGGGGCACAGGTAAGAGTGAACTTGGACTCTGACCCTACTCTCGTGCCAATCTTTTCTTGTTCTCTGAAAGTGGCTGTGGGGCCCAAAGGCAGCAGGACTCAGGGACTCTAGTGTCCTTCCTGATCCTAGTTTTTTTTGTTTTTTTGTTTTTTTGTTTTTTTTTTTTTTTTTGGTTTTTTGAGACAAGGTCTCACTATGTAGTTGAGACTGACCTGCAACTCGCTATGTAGCTCGGGCTGGTCTCGAACTCACAGCGATCCTCCTGCCTCAGCCTCCTGAGTGCTGGAATTACAGGCATATGCCACCATGCCCAGCATGATCCAAATTTTAATCTGAAGCTTTAATCTGAACCTGTGCTCCAGTGGTTAGCCTCATCACTATTCAACTATTCACCAATTTCTCCTCTTTTAAGACAGAATCTAATTGGTCCTTGGTCAACTCCTTTATTGTAGGTGACATCAGTCTAGTTCCTCGTTCTTGTGCCAGCCTTCAGATTTTTGAGGATGTCCCTGTCAGCGCCCCTTGAGCTACCTCCTATTCAAGATGAGCATCTCCAGGCCCTTTCATTATTTTCATCGGACACAGCATCAAGCCTCAGCACCCTGGACAATTCCTCTGGGAGTGTTTCACATCAAGTGATACTTTCTTAATGGCAGCACCCAGAACTTACCACAGATGCCATGCCTCATTCTCTTTCTCTCTCTCTCTCTCTCTCTCTCTCTCTCTCTCTCTCTCTCTCTCTCTATCTATGTAATATTCCTATAAAGCCCAGAGGTAAGATAGGGATTCCAAGTTCTGTGGGACAGTCAGCACAGGGCTGGCCTGAGTCTTAGTCTTGTCGAAGAACATGGTGTAGACATTCTCTATTGGTGGTTTCTTCCATTATCAGGGACTCTGGCTTACTGTTTCTGATTCTTCTATGTCCTTTCTTCCCTTTTCTTCACTGAACACAAGCTCATGAACCCAGTCATCCTGTGTCTCCCTCTGTGTTTACACACACACACACACACACACACACACACACACACACACACACACACAACA